CCCTAAACCCTAAACCCTGAGGTCCTTGACCAGCATGTCCATGAGCCCCTGGTCGGCTCTCGCGCGTTCCACGAGGTCTCGGGTGAAATCCTCAGCCACCTTGAGGTTACCTTCGCCATCAGCGTCTTAGGGTATAGGGCATAGGGCTTTAGGGTTTAGGGTTTAGGGTTGAGGGTTTAGGGACTTAGGGTTTAGGGTTGAGGTTACCTTTGCCATCAGCGTCTTAGGGTTTAGGGTTTAGGGTTTTAGGGTTTAGGGCTTAGGGTTTAGGGCTGAGGTTACCTTTGCCATCAGCGTCTTAGGGTTTAGGGTTTAGGGTTTAGGGTTTAGGGTTTTAGGGTTTTAGGGTTTAGGGTTGAGGTTACCTTTGCCATCAGCGTCTTAGGGTTTAGGGTTTAGGGTTGAGGTTGCCTTGGCCATCAACGTCTTAGGGTTTAGAGTTTTAGGTTTTTAGGGTTTTAGGGTTTAGGGTTTAGGGTTTAGGGTGTAGGGACTAAGACTAAGGCACTTAAAGGAATGGAGTCGTTTCGTGGTGTACTCCGGGCCAGAATAGCTACCATTGTTTGTTTGGGTACCCTAATGTCATCACAGTACAACATGCCAGAACTCTGTTCTGATGAGGAACGCCCCTACATTAGGCCTTTACATGCAGCAGTAGTGTCCTACATGCTGCTTCATTAATTTACAGCCTTTCGCATTGCAAGCACATAGAAACCTACACCCCCCGTAGAATCCTTCTAACATTCGGCCTAAAGTAAACGTGGGTGGCTCCTCGACAATTTCCAACGGGAGCTTCAGGCTGCTATAGGGTTTTATGATGGGTTTTTACAATTCAGGGTTTTGCAGAGTTCAATCGACAAGGTTCTCACGGAACTTACCTGCTGCAACCATAAGTCCTTGGGAAAGAGATGTTCCTTGGGTTGGTAACATGCAATCATAATTAGCTCCTCCGAAGGAAACCAAGACGTTTGCTGCCCTGATGCAACGGGATAGCAGGAGAATATCGGAAAATGCGCGCGGTGTGTCCAGGTCTGTGGACCTCGGCAGTCACTTGGCCATGGTTGTTGAACAAGGCATTTTCCAACTTTCAAGCACGAGAAGCCTGAGTTTAGGGCAACCCTTAAAAAAAAACACCTAGATAGTCAGCACCTACCTCAACCTCAACATAAGCATGTCAAGCCTTGCACACAAAAGTTGTTGATATTCGGCTCCGAGTCGCGGCTTTACTATGCAAATGTGCAGAAAGATCTTCGAGGAATTTAGGCTTCTGCACTAATATCCATGGGCCCCCGAACCCCAAAGGAAGTGCAGGGACGCCGGGTCCCCTCATGGTAGGTACTGTGCAGGGCCCTTAGGACGGCATGTAGGGCCAAGTAGGGGTTCCGTTTGCCTCTCTCGCTCTCTTTCTCAGTACTTCCCTCTCTCTCCCTCTCCCTCTCCCTCTCCTTCTCCCTCTCCCTCTCCCTCTCTCTCTCTCCCTCCCTCCCTCCTCCTCTCTCTCTCTCTCTCCCTCTCTCTCTCCCTCCCTCTCTCTCTCTCTCTCTCTCTCTCTCGCTGCCTGTCTGACTAAACCCTAAACCCTAAACCGCTGTCTCTCTCCCTCCCTCTTCGTCCCTCTTCTTCCCTCTTCTTAGGGTTGAGGGTTTAGGGTTTAGGGTTTAGGGTTTAGTACCTAAATCCTAAACCGCTGTCTCTCTCCCTCCTTTTCTTCCCTCTTCTTAGGGCGAAGGGGGCTTCGGCCTCCGGGTGCAGGGAATTTGGGGGTGCCAAAGGGCCCTTGTTTTTGAACCTGGACACCCCTCAACAAGGGCCTGAAGGAATAGGATAGGGTACGGGTGTAGGGTTTAGGGTTTAGGGTTTAGGGTTTAGGGTTTAGGGGCTCGGGTTTGGGGTTTAGGGTCCGGTAAACTAAGGGTTGCACTAAAGGGTTCAAGAACCGAGGTTACTAGAACAAGAGCTTAGTCAACTAGAATAGATTCGGGGGTACGTTTCAGTATGATTATAGTAGGGAGCCCTAAGGCAAAAGAGTTGGCAATTCTTCCGACCCCTAAACCCTAGACCCTAAGACCCTAAACCCTAAACCCGAAGACCCTAAGACCCTTAGACCCTAAACCTAAGACCCTAGACCCTAAATCCCTAAGACCCTAAACCCTAAACCCATATTGCAGCCACGTGGCTGATAAGAAGCAGCCATGAGGTACAGCAGTTCCTTTGGATACCTGGGTGTTGGTTCAGGGCTTGGGGCTTAGTAATTAAGATCACGGTAGGGTTTAGGGTTTCGGGTAGGGTTTAGGGTTGCGGTTGCGGTTTGTCGAGACTTTCGGGTGTTCAGATGTCGGCGTCAAGCTTTCTGGATTTCAAGGCTTGTCATAATGTATGGTAACCTGCTGAAGCCACCAAGGGTCCCAAAACTCCCCGCTATTCGAGATTCCCCTACCATCCAAATGCAGGAACCATGGCTGTCTTCATCTTACACTCGCGAATCAAGCCGTGAAACTGCCACATCTAACCCTACACGCCACGCTACACCCTGTAGTAACTGTAGTAAAAACGCAAGCCCACACATCGCCCTAAACCCTAAACCC